AAAAGATAGGAACTCACTTTTTGTTTCTCATCGAGATTGAGCATCTTCATATCCCGTCTATTAGAGTGCTCTATGAAAGTTGCTCTCAAAAAGGAAAGCGTTGCTGGCGTCATACAAGAAGCACAAAGTTGGCACTCCTTAATTCAGAGTCATTCAATTCCTACCAAGAAGTGGACCTTTGGAATGAGGTGAAAATATTTATTCGCTCGAGTAACCTCTTAATACATCGCAATGGGGTATTTTAGGTTCGCCCATATCTTCTGTCTCATTGACAGTATCAGCGGCTTATGCGGTATCGACCATTTCCCTAAGACCGCCGTCCTTGCAGTCTAAGCATGTTTAATTGGCAAGGCGGTGTAAGTCGCAGACATAACGCAGGACTCAAGAGATACGCGAAGGAACTAAGCTGCACGAGCAGGCGACAGTGTCATTGAGACGGATGTCACATTACTATTCCGAATCTGTGGGGTAACACTCGCCATGCATAGAATCTGACGTTGTCTGATTGCTGTCCCGAATTTTTACCCTTTGATTTGATTCAACGCTGTCGGCGGCTGGAAGGCGACCGCTCGCAGTCTGCGTCTCTCTTGCGAGCTTGCTCTCTGATCATTCTAAAGCCTTGATTAGGCCTCGAAGCCCCGCCTTCCAGCAGCCAATTCCGCATTTAAGGGTAGTTTCCAAATTTGTCACAAGCCAAATGCGAAAATTTGGGCAATGGGCAGATGCTGAATTGAATTTTTGCGCTAAAGTTTCGAAATATTTCGCGGTACCCAATTTCTTCTGCTGCTAGTCGAGGGGGATTGTTCGAAATATTAATAAGTTCCATGACGAGAAGCTTTGTAGAGAAATTTTGAGGTTTTCGGAAATTGTTTCTTATCAGTTTCGATGCGTAGAAGAAGGTTAACAGTTCTCCTTCATCGCAGTGAGGCTTGGCACTATGGCGCACTTCTGCTAGCGAAGAGATTACGAACTCCGAAACTCCTACCATCATAGCATCACATGATGAGCAGTTCGAGCATTCGGGTGCAATTAGATAAATGCTTTGGTCAGGAGCAAGAAATTTGGGAGCATTGTCATAGTCTCTAAAAACTTCTTTCTATTATGTTTCGCGAGCTACAACCACAATACTTACCGTGATCGTTCGTGAACTTCCTTGGTGAATGCAGATGCTATGCCAACAAGTGAGAAAACGTTATAGAGCACTTGCTCGTAGAGAATCTGATTCTGAGCGAAGTGTCCTGATGAGAGATTTGGAGACATGTTGGCCTAAGAAAAATTTTGAATAATTATCATTTCCATGACCATTCATTACCTCCATGAGGAAAACGTTCAGGTTCTCATCAACCACGAAATCAAATCGGCTCAGTTCGAAGAAATTTGCTTTGGACTGGACTGACTTCAAAGCGTGTAGCATCATCACTTGTTGCTTTTGAAATACCTAAAAAATCACAAAATGATCATTTTACGCAAAAAAAATTATTTTATTACAAAATGATCATTTTACGCCAGAAGAATTATTTTACCTCCGCAATTATCTCGTCTATTCTGTCCCAGATTTTTTGTGGATCCTGATTTTGTGACCTCAAATAAGCGTCGAATGCTCCTTTCCATCCTAATTTCTGATGGAGAAAATAGTCCTTGAGTGAAGGTATCTAGAAGAGCACTAATTACATGCAATCCATTGCAAGTTCTTAGTTTATAAAAATTTGCAAATGCGGTTATTTCACATAGTGATCTGGAGAATGACAATTTACTGCATGCTAGGACTTTTTCATTGGGTCGCAGTAGGTAAGTTTGGAGTAATATTTCATAGTTCGATGTAACATTGCATAAGCATTGATTGACATGCTGATTACGGATATCAAATCACTCTTAGCATGTGAGATAATGCTTCTATGAAAGGTTAAAGGCTGACTTGCACTACCATCTACCCATCGTAACCCCATAAAAGTACCGTGATGCGAAATGACTAACATGTTGTAATCACTTGGGATGGAACTCGCTGCATAATTTTGGCAAGATCTGTATTTTTGCATTTTTTCTTGCTTTTTATGAAGTAGATTATAGCATCTAGAACAGTATTGGTAAATGCGGATATGCACTATAGGTGCAGTAACATTATCATGAAATCACTTTTAAGCAAACCATTGAACTGCCTGAGTTGAGTTCTTATGATTTTAATGACCAACAAGTAACAAAGGGGAAAGATTGATTCGAATGGGATGCACCGAAATCTAAAGTTCTACCTCCCAGATAGGCGTGTAGTCGTCCCCAACAACGTACTTGTCCAGCTTATTCACATCGAAAGGATTATAGTCTTCCGCACAAAACCTGAAGGACGAAAGTTTGCTTTGATTTGTTGCTCCTTCGATCAACATTCAATAAATAAACTTTCAATGAGTACCACTTTCAAAAAAATAAAAAAGCTTTGTTTTATTAGGATTTGCAACATCCGTTAGGAGGTCACTTACGATTAACTAAGAGCTATGCAACTTTTACTGTTAGAGTCTCATTCAGTTAGTTAGTAATTCAGCCGTTTGACATTAGAATTGCTAGCAAGTGTAGAATGTTGGTATCATTGAACAGAGTAGATTGAGAAGAATCAACGAACCCACTTTGTCTTAGCAGAAATTATTTTTTAGCGAAGAATTGATGCAGGAATGTGAAGTACCTAGATTTTTTCACCAAATTCAAAATATGCTCTAAAAAAGGAGCTGAATGGACGTAAAGTGTACAAATGATAAGCGCACACGAGATTTTGACATTTGCAACCAGTTCCATTGACTAGCGGAACAAAGCCTTGGGGTGTGAGAAATCTCGTTTTTCGAGAAAAAGCCTCGAACAAAGCACAATCCGTGATTGCCATGAAATTTGGATATACATTGATCTGAAGTGCTAAAGACTTCCGGCACGCAAACCAAGAAAATCCTTCCAATTACAGAAAATAGTAAACTGCGGATAATAATTTTCCTGTGTTTATGCAGCGCAAGCTTTCAAATTACTCGAAAGTGCACTCACACAGTCTGAGAACGAAATAGATCATAGGGTAATTGACCTCTTGGAGACTAGCCTTATAAGGTCATAATTGTCATAATTGCCATTTATAGTGAGAATTTTCAGTATTTGATAATATGTGAGCTAAAGGTCTGGAAATGCCTCTCCACAAATGATCCTCGTTGAATAGCAGCTCTTCAAATCATTAGCTCTTTGAATCAATTAAAGTTTCCTTGTATGTACCAAATACAAAAATACTTGTACCAAAATCGTTTATGGTCATTTTGATGTTTCAAAGCAATACTTTACTCTCAGACTTAGTCCCTACTTTTTAAGAGTCCCGTATGTACTTCAATTTCTGGTGTATTGTCACTTATACCCACCTTATTCTGCTGTTCTCAATTTATCAAAGATAATCTTGTGTTACCTGATCAAGACGTCTCCTGTGTAAGTGTAAACTCGAAGTGGATGGACAGACGTGACCACAGTGTAGATTCCAATGTCAAACTTCCTGAATTTTCTTCCATCAAAAGGCTTGTATTTACCTTGAGTATCACCTATTATCGATAAGC